TATACCCACCCCTGAACTACCATGCATGCATCCTTTCAGTTTGAGTTTCTGTGCCGTGAACTAAATCAGAGAGCTGATCCAGCTTAGAAGGGAAGTGTGAAAGATATTTTTCTTTGAGCTGGCTGAGTTCTTTTTCTAGACCATAAATATCTGTGGGATTGCAGAACTAAGGGGATAAGAGGGGAAAGGTCCATGCAGTGGTTTATGGCTTGGTGGGGGAAACCTTAACCCCCTATTGCTGCCAGGACACTGCATTGTCAAACTATGGCCTCACACATTCCCTGGCATAGAAACACACAGTCAGAGGATGCAAACTGCCTTAGCTCTCTTCTGCTCTGCAGCTGCAGGAATGTTTTTGGAGTGAGTACAGACATTACAAACTTGTGCTAGCCTTGGTACCATTTACAATGAAACCACAGTGATGTGGGGCTTTGGCATGAGGTGCAACTCCCCCTCCCTCTACAGGATTCTAGGTATTTACTTAGGCAGGCAGGTCTGAGCTGCTGTGGCTTCACTGCTCTTTTAGCAGGATTATCTGGAGCACAGCTAGCTTGGAAGCTTCTCTGCATGCTGCTGTTAAGCTATGGATGTTGTGATGCTGTGAAAGTACAACACATGCATTTGAACCATTGTGTGGCCCTGGATTAGACACAGCTAATCTTTCTTTTTACTTAAAAGTTAATTTCTTTTTTCCTTCCTGATTTCAAGTTAGATCTGTGACTTGATTTCTAGGATTTAATTTCATATTCCCAAAGAATGAATGTAGCACCCAAGCAGGAAGGGTGTAGGCAACAGGACAAGGGAACAGTGTTGCTGTGCTGTCTCTGAATGCCAGTGAATTTGGGACTAACTGTGAGTTTAGCCAGGTGAAATTTGAGGCAGTGAGAGAGAGGAACAGTTTAGAAGAGGGGAAGAACAAGAAAATAAAGAAAAGGGATATTAAGGTTGAGAAAACCTGAAGAAAAATAAAAGGGGGCAGAGGTGAGAAAGGAGATGAGGAGATGGAAGCAGTAACTGAGGAGGAGGGTGGTGGAAAAGGCTTATAAAAGCTGGAGCTAAGCAAGGCCAGGGAGGCCATTGCTGTCAGAACCAAAGGTAGAAGTGAATGCTTGAGGTTTTTAGCAGAATGTGTGAATTGATGATGAGCCTTTGTAGCCCCGGGTAGTTCATTGCACCTGAAGATCTTGCTGGTGCAGGAGAGGGGTACTGTAAGAGAATGTCAGAGGGCCAGTGGTAGAAGTAGCTGCTCTTAGGTGCGGAGAGGGCTCGTTTCTGTAAGTTCTGCTGCTCTTTTCTGTGGGAGGGGATCTCTACAGGTTACCCAAAGAAGAGGAGAAAGGGGACCTGCTGGTGAGGTGTGAAAAACACGACGCACGTGGAGTAGTGTCCTCAGTGTCTTTCTCTGGTGCTCTCTCAATACATGATGTTTGAGCCTGTCATCCTTGTATGCCTGCCCTTTTTCCTTAGTTGTCCCTTGTCAGCAATTGTCTGTTGTTCCTGTGTTTCATCTTTTTCTGGCTTTGATGGCTCAGTTACTGATGACTTACTGGCTGGCCCTAAAAGGAGAGTAAGAACCCTTTTTAATGCGCACCCTATCTGAGGCACTGGCTAAGAAACCAGCTCTTGCTTGGGCCCAACTGTTGTCTCTACTTACCATCTCCAATAGCAGCATCCAGAGCATCTGGAAATGTCTGAGCAGGTGAGCTCTTTGCTCTAGTTTTTTTGCTCCCAGGTAGAGCCTGAACAGCCTGTGCAGCATTATGCTGGGTTTAAGAGATCTGAATAATTTAGTTTCCCTAGCAACAGTGGCCTCTCTAATCACAGAGGTACAAGTCTACCTCTGTTATTAATGTTAAGACTTATGTAGTTTATCTGGCTATGGTAATACCTTGCTTCTGTTGGAAAAATGGTAGAATAAAAGCAAGAAGGTCCTTCTGCCTTGGAGATAATTAAAATCTCCATAGGTGGATTTCAGTGCTGTATGCAGCAATAATAGAAGAGGGATTATAACTACTTCTAAGCTTTATAATGTGTGAAGGATCCCTGGAGGATACAGAAATAAAGTTTTAAATTCTGTATGGAGCTTTCTATGCACAGATCTCATGGCAGTCTGTGACACTGATAGATTCGTTCCTCGTTGAGATGTGTTATTTTCATTTTCATGATTAGAGTGACAAAGTGATTCAAAGGTAGCCTCAATCTTGTTGCAAAGCTAGGAATAAATCTCTTCTGAGTCCAAGTCCTCCACCTGGCCTTTCCTTTAGTTTCAGCTAAAGGTTTCCCTGTGCAGTAGGAGACAGAACATGTTATGGAAGGTAGAAGTGTGAAGCCTGTTTTTTAGCAGCAGAAAGTGAGGAAAGTGAAAATACTGTGATTCACTCCAAGCTTTTCTGCTAATATATTTTAGTCTACACTCACTCCCTCATTAACAGAAGTAGAGCAAACTATAAATTTTGACAGTGAGCATTGGGAGTGAAAGAAATACTCCTGCCTTAATTTCTGCACAGCAACATGGTCTTGTTACTGCATGTGTGCGGGTAAAACTGTTTTGGACAAGAGAAGTTTGAGGAAACTTCGGAAGCAAAAAGAATCCTTGCTTGATCATGAAGGCATTAAGTCTGCATAAGCATCCAGTACTGATGTTCCTTCTTGGTTAATGCCGGTGTTAAACTATCAGTAAATACCTTGCAAGCTTCCTGAGTTAGAAAGTAGCGTAAGGGACAGCTGGATGGAAAACATCTATCTGCACTCCTCCACTGAAGTTATATGGTGTTAGGCATTTTTTGTTTATTTCATTGGTTTTTTTATATGGCATAAATAGTGCAGAGATGCAAGAAGACACCCATCCTCCTTTGTATTTAGAATTCTGGTTTCTGGAGTATTTTTACTTTTCTGTGTTTCCTTGTCTGTTTGGGTAGTGCAAGGTGGGATCCATGTTGTCTTCTCTTCCACATTCTTTTAGCCAAGGAGTTTTTGAAAATTCCAGTATGAGATTTGTTTGGTTTGCAGGTATTGTAGACATTACTCAACTTCAGGATATCTAAAAATCTCATTTGTTTGTGACTGAGCATCCTTATTTCAGCAACTACCTTTCAAGCGTCTGTTTACCAAATTAACTTAATAGGGTGTCTTCTAAATGGTTGGGGAGCTCTGGAAGCCTCTAACATCTAGACAAAAGTCCCTTCCAGAGAACATGGACCACCTTTTTTCTTTGTTTTCCTTTCCCCCCCCCATTCCTGTGGTCTTGCATGATCTAATGAGTCTTTTGAGGAGCTCTGTGAGCTTGTGCACAAGGTGGGTGACATAAAACCCATTGAGCTTTTTAAAATAATATTGCCATGGTCCTTCAGCAGCCTGATGTCCTTGTATACAGCTGTTACTTAGCTGGGTGGTATTTGGTACGAACCAAGACAGAGGCTCAATTCTACAGTGAGTTTATTGTTGAATTTTCAGTATATTGTTTGTGTAAATTCCCTAGACCAGCTCTCCCTCCTGAATAAGCCACATGGATCAAGTTTTATTCTGTTCCACACAAAGTTCACATCCTTTACTGGAATGAGTCATGCTTTAACTGAGTTTACTGTGAGGGAGGAAAGTGGGCTTTAAAATGTTACTCCTCCACCCTGCCTTGGTGATGTATAACAGGATTATTAGTATTCTTGGCAGCTGCTGCTTATTATTTTCACAGAACCTGGATATTTGTGAAAACAAGTAAAAATTGGTTCTACTTGTGTTCAAGTGTGAATTTAATGCATAATTTAAAATTTCTCAGATAAAAAAGCTATTCCTTTTTTTGTGGCTTTGTCTTCCATAAGGCTTACCTGCTACTGTAAAACTGGATCTAGCTTATCTCCCTGTGGTTATTTTTCAGTTTTGAGAGAAGGGTGGCATTTTGTGACGTGTAACTGAAAGAGGAGGAGGAACTCTACCATTTTTTTTCAGTGGCCCATGCATGGCTATTACTGTTACACCCAGGACACTTCTGGGCATTGACAGGTGAAAGTGCTTCACAGGCCCATGTAGCTCACATGTAAGTTTGTCTCCAGCTTCTCTTAGACGAGATGTGTGTGAAGTGGTGCCACTGTGCAGAAAGAAAATTTTGGTCCTCTGTGTATTATTTCTTTGTGCATAGAGGTAAAACACCTTTTAACCTGTGGTAGAGGGACCTGCTAGGTGTGTGTCCTTAACATAGATTTTTGCTGAAACAGTTTCTGTATGCAGCTACTAAAGATACCAGAACCAATTTTACTGTTCATCTTTCCTGCAGAATTTCATTGATATCTCCTGTAATAATAGCTAATTTGACTTTTCATACCACCATCCTTTTTTGTTTATTTTTTGGTTTGGGAGGGAAGGAGGGACGGGGATGGGAGGGAGCAAGGTGGTAGGTTGTTCATTTGTTTAAGTTATTTAAGTTAGTGTCAAAATTGAGGAAGAGGGGCAGCCAATAGAAGAGGGCCTCTTAGGATTTTATTGGTTCACCTGACATGCAAGACCTTTTTTTCCTAGTCCTCTTGTTCCTGAGAGGTCTGGAAAGAGTTATGTTTCTTCCCTGAGCTATGTATTATCTATGATTGCTACACTGGCAAGGGCATCATCTGTTCCTGTTCTACAGAAAAAACAGGGTCTGTTACCCTAACCCACCACATTCCTAAACCCAGACTGCATAACTTTTATGGAGCCTGCAAAAGAATTTCTTTTGATGCTAATGCTTTTGAAGGAAAACCTGAGGGAAGAAGCTGTAGTTAAATGAACACCAATGTCAGATATTAGAAAGGACTTTACCTTTTAGAACTTAGAATGAGTGAAGTGAATGTTTGGTGACAACATGAGTTTAATTAAATTTACACCTCCATTTGATCTATATTTATCTGTCACTGACTCTGGGTTTACTGATAAGTAATCATAATAGCTGGGAGGCAGGCAGTGCCTTGGTTGACCAGCCTGTCTCCTGTCCAGCTTGACTCTGACCAGACAGATTTTTCTCCTGTGTTTTACAGATGCTTCGTTCAGTGGCACACCACCTAGCTATGCATACGATGCAGACCGTGCTGAAGAACAGAGGCGACACCATGATATGATGCCCTATATTGATGACTCGCCATCATCCTCACCCCATCTCAGTTCCAAGAGTCGGGGCAGCCGAGACACCCTATCTTCAGGGTCTCTGGAATCTACAAAATCAGTGAGTCCTTTCCTGCCTTTTCGGAGTGAGCAGAGCCTTGTAGGTTTGCAAGGGGTAGACTGCTTAACCAGGGAGCAAAGCCAGGGACAACTACCACTGTAGAGCAGATTACTTGACATAATATAGCAGTGCCTGATTGATATGGTATATCTAAAGCTAAACTAAGGCTTCTAAACTTCAGAGATGAGTATTGTGCATATGATATTTAAGCCTTAGTTTTTCACCCTGTGTGAATTTTAGTGGAGACAATTGGTAATTAACTGATGTCAAGGAGTTATCTTAAATACCAGATATTTTGGAAAGCAGGCTCCGAAACAAACCATCCTACATGTCGTACATTTGTGCATGTGTGTTGTCATAGTCTTTCGCAAGGAAAAGAAGAGTTATTTTCAGGTAGGTTAAAGGCTTTGATAAAGTATCTAGCATATAAGATGTTTCCCTCACACTGTGAAAATGGAATAAGAGGATTCAAATGGCCAGCTCTGAAGTATGGTAACTTTGGGTTGAAGATGGCCACTTCTTATAACAAATTTGACTATTCACTAAATAGATATCTATATAATCAGTTATGGTAGATAAAAAATTCTGAAGGGACCACCTAGCCTGACGTGTGGTTTGCTGTGGACATTCAGGCTATCTTGCTTTATTTTTGCCTCAGGTTCAGTAGCGTGGCTATAACGTGGAACTTAAGGAAAATTTCTATTTTTGTTTTTACAATAGTCTTGGTAGAGTCTGCTGCTTGCCTTGGCAAATAACTATTGACTGCTGTCTTCACAGTCAAAAATGTCTTGGTTTCAGCTTGAATTAATCTGTTTGACTTTCAACCTTTCTTTCTCTTTATCCTTTTGCTTCCTAGATTGTAGAGCGTTTCAGTCCTAAGTTGCTGTTTCCTTGAGTATCTTTGTCATCTGCAAAATTTGGTTTCCCCAAGTCATTCATAAAAATGCTTAATAGCACAAAGACAACTGTCACTTTCTTCCTACTGTATTTCCAAGAAAGTGTAGCCAGACAACCTTGAATTCCCACGTTGTAAATGACACTTTGAAATCTGTCACTTAAGTGGTTTAACATATATGTTGGCTTTATATTGTTCTGTCCTATTAAGATGTCATGGGAGAAGACGGATGTGTTAGAGATGTTAGTGTACATGTAAATCAGCACCTTCACCTTTATCAGACAGTCTTATTTATCTTGTATCAGAGTCTGACAAGTTTCACAAACTGCTGCTTCTTAGCATTCGTTATATACGTCCTTCTGTTACTCTATTGATTAGTTTCATATCATATGCTTCCTTATTTTTTCTATGATGAATGTTAGATTAAGAAGCCTACTTGAGACAGTGTTCTTGCTTTTTCTCATTTATAAAAATGTATTGTCAAAATCTCTTAAAGCATTGTCAAGTACATATATTGTTGATGTTTGCTTAATTTTATTTGACTATAATGTATGGAATCTAGTCAGTTGCTTATGCCTTAGACTGTTAATTCTGAGATGCTTTTTCATCTCTCAAGATGAGAATTCTTGTGATACGTAAGAGCCTTTTGAATTAAGAAATGATCATTAGTAAATTCAAAAGCTCCAAGAGTGTTTTAATTTGGGTTTGAGATTTCCAGGTTATGTTTCTCAAGATGAAGGAAAAATGCAATGTGACTATATATGGCTGAGAGTTATCTTCAAAGAACCAGTTGTCATAGGGCCTGTGACTGGAGGCCTGGAAGAAACGCTACCTGATATTTAATCCTGTTCTTTATTTGTTTCAATACTGCTTCCTAAGCATTTAACAGCAGTTAATTTCAAAGTTACTTTAATAATGCTAGGAGACTGCCTTTTTAAAAATTATTTTTAACATAAATGACTGCTTTCTTCTCTCTGTCTATAAAAAGATGGGTTTTGGCTTCCAAAAGAAAGAAGTGTCCTGATACAGATTAGACTTTTAATCGTGAACCTCAACCACTTTAGTTGAGCCTGTCTGTAATTAGTCCACAAATGACAATGCAGCTCATGAAGGACTGTCTATGACAAGAAGGTTGCAGTATTTCCCAAACATGTTAAAGTCTCTGTCATTGCGAGCTGTTAGATGGCTTTTATAGTTATGTTTTCAGCTGTAGTGGAGAAGACATCAGTAACAAAATTACGTGTCAAACACACTGTGCTGAGCCAAGCACATAAAATGTGTTGGACCAGAAATGCCAGGATGTATGTCTTTTCTATTTTCTTTTTCACCACTCTTGATAAGCAGAAAACATTTTTGTTTACATGTGTTTGCTTTTATAGTTGTTTCCTTGCCGTTTTATTTCTTAGGTGCCTGCAATTACTTCTGAAAATTTTAGATTGTCTTTGACCAGAGTCTAGAAATCAACCGTTACCTGCATGTAACAACACGTGCACTGTGTCAAAACATTAAGATCGTGAAGTCATTCAGAAGTTAAGAAATTACTATAGTTATTCAGCCTTTCCTTGGGCCTATTGCCTTTTCTTAAATCTGTATGATAACTTTCAATTACAGAGTCATGTCCTATTTTTTCTATGGGGTCCTACATTATTCAGTGTATATAGTGAATGATATTTACTGAACTCAATATTTTATATCTAGATCTATGTATACACCTCATTTACAGGACACTGTACCAACTCTGCTTGGAGTACAGAAATACTCATCTCCTTTTGGCATGACCATTAACTCCAAACACAGTTGGAATGCTGCACAGGTCTTAATTATCCTTGCAATGTTCCTGTGAGATAAGAGAATGGTATGTTCACCAACCACAGGTAATCAAGGCAGACAGATTATAGGAAAAGCATCTGTTAATTTTACATGGTTAATGCGAGATGCATAATGTTCTGCAAAAACAGGTTCTGATTTCTAAAGCAGTTTTCTTCACATTAAGGTAAAATCCCTTTAATTTCACTTGCAACTAAGAGTTAACACTCCAGTCAGGCACCCAGAAAATGGAAAACGTTACAAACAATGATTTTTTTTTTTTCAGATGTAATTTTATTAATTAATTTTCTTAGCATTACACAGACACAGCAGCATTCTGGTGTGATATTCATCTGCCTTATCCACAAGACCAGCCTTTCTCTTGGAGACTGGGCTGTTGCTGTCTGGATATTGAGGGCATTTTGCTTTGACTTATTTTGTGATCTTGCTCTGGGCTTTGTATTTTCAGGCAAGTGTTTGACTAAGTGCTTCCATGTCCTTATAGCAGCTATAACTTTTGGTTGGATAGTGCATCAGGATTTCATCTGGTCTGCCCGGCAACCACAGTGAAAGTTCAGAGTAGCAAAAGCAGCATCTCCTTCTAAAAGAGAACAAAGGAATACGACCTGGACTACTTGTGGAGTGGCTTCATGTTGTTCCCTCAGTGTGTAGGGTGACCCTCTCAGCACCTCATGTCTGTGTTCCAGGAAGTGAGGGCTGCAATGGACTTAGAGAAGGTTTATGGTGTTCTACACCTTGCCATTTAGCATCTGTTTTCCAATCCTCCCTACCACCTGTATCAGCAGACTAAAAGACACTGGCTGGTCTGCCTCCAAACTGTACCACGTCAGCCACCTCTTCTCTTATTCTACCTCCTGTGTGTCCATTGCACAAACATCTGTTGCTATCCAAGGAGGGTGACAAGAGGTGCACAGTAATCATTTTGTCTGTGACCCAGAGAGGACATAATCAACATGGGTGTTTGTAGTGTGGATCTCAACCTCCCCCGACTTGTCATTTTTGTGGTAAGGAAGCCTTAACAAATGTTTGCATTGAGCAAGCTAGGTCATACCCCCTCTTCTGGCTCTTCCAGAATCTCATGCTGAGCTGCTGATGCATGTCCTGGCATAAAGCCAGTGCTTTTGCCAAACTTTGTTGCTCTGAAGCAAGATTACAGGGGAAAGAGGAAAAAGGAGAAATAGGTTCCACTAATGCTTAAGCTGTTTGTTTATTTAACTTGAGAAGTGATTTAATTTTCCTGAACATTGCTTTCTGTAACAGTTGAACTGTTGTGATTGAACTCTCCAAAAATTCTGGAAACCTGTCTTGGAAAATGTCAGCCCAAAAGTTTGCCAAATAAGACAGCACTGGTAGCTCCAGGTGTCAGACAGTAGGTGTAATTGGTAGTGATAATATACTCCCAGAAAGGGGGAGAATGTGTCTGTCTTTCCCATACACAGCTAGGGTGAAAGGTGGAGAAGATACCTGGATCAAGTTAGAGGACAAAGGGAGAGCTTGCTACAGTATTCTTGGGGCCACCAGAAAGTGTTGGGACAGCTGGAAAGTTAGTGACTGACACCCTTCGCTAGAGAATAGTTATTGCCAAGAGTTTTGAAGTGGGTAGCTTGGGGCTTGGAGGCGACAGAGATTGAGAGAGGATGAGAAGCTTCAGTCATCATGATCCTATTGCTGCTACTCACGTGGGGAGAGATTACAGCCATGGGAAGAGTAGAAATAAGAAAGGCCTTTAAGATCTGCAAAGCCAGGTTCAAGGACATGTGGGGCTCTGTGGAGGTGGGTGCAGCCAGTGGAAAGGCAAAGCTGGTTCCACCCCCCAACAAATGAGGGGAAGTAATTTCTTTAGAGTTTAGAAGATGAGTTTTTTTCCAAAATAGATCTCTCCAATTGTGTATATCACACCCAGGGAGGCAGGAGTGCTAAAGCTGAGTGATTAACTCTTTATGTTCTGTTTGGAGGGGAAATTGGCTGGTGCTTAGGAGATTTCTAGGTAGAATTTCTCTTGAGATGGTTGGCGCTGCATTGGCAGCCATTGCCAGTCCTCAGGCCGGATTCTTTTGTTCTCACTATCTGCCAGCTATGCGAAAAACAGAGCTGTGGCAGAGCGGGTTGTGGACATTTCTCATAGCTTGGTCCCGAGGGGGTCCAGAAAAGCTGACCTTTGAAGCTACATCAGTAAATGGGATTACTGCTCTGCTTGGTACTACCGTTGCTAGCGTGTCCTTCCCTCTCTAGCATTTTCAAATCCTCTTTTCTTCCTCTCAGTATTCTGTTTTGTTTA